CTTTTGGTCCCTTAACAAGTGGGAGACACATAGGCAAACTGTTGTAATTCCTACACCGTTCACCTGATTTGGATGTACAAAACCTCAAATTAAAGGTGACAGTCTGCCGTTAAGGCACATTGTGTTTGTTTCATTCCAAATCCATTGTGGTGGTGTATAGAGCCAAAGATGTTAGAATTGTGTCGATGTCCCAATATTTCTGGACCTGACTGTACATTAAACAGAAGCTTCTGCTTTATTCTCATTGCCAAATAACCAAAAGTAATTTTGTGTATTCCATTATTTCTCTCTCTCAATCTCTCTCTCTCTCTCTCTCTCTCACACACACACACACACACACATATATACAGGGTTAACTATTTTAAACATAAGCTTACCAGATTTAGGCACAGAAAATAAAAAATCTGCCTTGAGTCAGACTCCTCAAGAATTTGCTTCAGTGATTCTTTAATAAATCGAGGTAAGGACTGAGAGCTGTGTTGTAAAGCATCACCCATAAAATTGTACAGTGGTATTCCTTCTGGAGAATAACCAATAAGAGTACCTTTCTGCCCTTTCCGTGTTGGGGAGGAAAGAATATTGGCAGCTGAAAAGACAAAATATTTACCTATATTTTGCATGAAATGCAGACACATTTAGAAAAGTTTTTTTTCAGAGACTCAGACCATTCAGTATCAGTTCACTTTTATATCATACTGGCCACTTAATCACTTAATGCAGGGGTGATATTGTTTCTTTGTGCTTCAAGTCAAGCCCCATAATGCTGTTGAATTTATTTATTTATTTATTCAATCAATTTATATGGCCCCCATCTCAACAAATGACTCTGGGTGGTAAACAGTGTTATAAAAATGAAAACAAAAACATATACAAAAATTAAAATACATAGCAGCCGAGAAAACCACAACAGTCATTAGCATAGCCAGGAGATGGGCCTAAGCACTAGAGATCGGATTTTTTTTAAAAAATTAAACATTAACTGATCATTCATCTTCAGTGAACTGACTAAAGCAAGGAGCCTCAGATTCAAAAAACAACTTTAATTTATTTCTGTGATCTAGCCTATGGCCATGTTAACCAAGGCAAGATTTCCAAAGGTGCAATTTCATAGGTACTGAATGCAATTTCATAGGTACTGACTATCACAAAAAATAAAGCAAGAAACTGTTTTCAAAGAAAATCTAGTCATTGTAGAACCTAGTAACCTTGTCTGCAAACTGCAATATAATAACCAAAATGGAATGTCTTTGTGCATGTGTAAACAAGTTTCAGTTCAGAACACTTGGTGTAGCTTACTGGCTACTTTAAAATTAACAATGCAGTCCTCCCTGAACCGAATCTCTACTTATAACTAGCAATAGTTATAACTATTTATAACTAGAAATTTCAGCATGGTATTTGGGAGAAACATTGCAAATGTGTACAAATACCATACCCAGCATTCATATATTTTGTGATATCAAAGTCTTCTATCAATAGATGCAAATGTCTTGAACAATATTCCACATTTTTTCCAAAAATACCCATACGTACATAATATAAAGAAAATGGCACTGACTACCACTCCTCCAGATATAACATGCTCTGTAGTTTCCTGGTGGGCTGGTTTGTTCATAGCACGAAGCTGGTTTGTTATTGGATGTGTCCAAAAATTACCAAAAATTAAAGCACTAATGAAAATGAGACAGGATCCATAACGGGCACATTTTGATACTTCCATCTTGACATAACACACAGATTCTACATAAAAGTCCAAAATCACGACGAAAAAGATTATACTTAAAAAGGGCATGATGAGGGAAGTCCATGATTCTACTTTACTCTGCAATCAAAACATACAAATATGTAAATACAGGCAGTAATATTTAAATATTGTTGTACATTATTGAAAAAAACAAAAATTAGCATGGTTTATCAACACATTTTATGGTTTGAAAGCAACACTGTGTACTCAGGATCTCTTTAACAGCTCAGGAATAACTGTCTATATAAAGAGAAATAAATATGCATGGTTGGTGAGAAAATATTTTGCTGGATTAGATTAAAATTCTTGAGTTCAACATTCTTCACAAATCTCCAAGAATTTAGCAACCTCTACATTAGTATATGTTACAGTAAATTAAGAATTTTAACTGATCTACTTTCCAATTAGAGAGCCAGTTTGATGTAGTGGTTAAGACATCAGGCTAGAAACCGGGAGACCAGGAGTTCTAGTCCCACCTTAGGCACAAAACTAGCTGGATGACCTTGGGCCAGTCACTCTCTTTCTCAGCCCTAGGAAGGAGGCAATGGCAAACCACTTCTGAAAAACCTTGCAAAGAAAATGGCAGGGACTTGTCCAAGCAGTTGCCAGGAGTCGATAATGACTTGAAGGCACCCCCACACACTTTCTAATTATAGTCCGTTAGATTTACACAAATATTTAAGGAAAAAGTATCAAAATACATGACATTATAAATACAGTGTTCTTAAAATAAAATAGCAAGAAATTGGATTAAATTGGTGAGTTATTAAAAAATGAAAGTGAAAGCTAGATTGATTAAAATCAGTTGGAACTCTGATTTCAGAAAAAAAGTGGGCCACAGTTGTATTTCTAACTTCTGTAACAGACAAGGCATACTTAGTATTCACCCACTCCTTCATAATTTCATCTAATTACTGTAGTACAGTGGTACCTCTACTTACGAACGCTCCTTACGAATTTTTCGAGATACGACCAGCTCTGGCCCCCCCAAAATTTACCTCTACTTATGAACTCGCCTCGACTTACGAACTGGATCCACGGCCATTTTCCGCCCGTTCCACGTGGTCCGCGGCCATTTTCCGCCCGTTCCAAGTGGTCTGCGGCCATTTTTCCGCCCGTTCCACATGGTCCGCGGCTGTTTTTCCGCCCGTTCCACGTGGTCCGCGGCCATTTTTCCGCCCGTTCCACGTGGTCTGCGGACATTTTCCGCCCGTTCCACATGGTCCGCGGCCATTTTTCCGCCCCTGACATGTGGTCCGCGGCCATCTTTCCGCCCTGCTGCGTGGTCAGTGGCCGTTTTTCCGCCCCTGACGCGTGGTCCATGGACGCCGGAACGGATTAACGGTAATTACATTGAACCTTATGGGAAAATTTACTTCGCCTTGCAACCTATTCGACTTGCGATCAGAGTCACGGAACAGATTAGGTGCGTAAGTAGAGGTACTACTGTATTCTCTGTGTCAAGCTGCAACACAGTACAGGGATCTGCCCCTTGGAAACCTCTTTCCCTGACAGGATGTGTCAACATGGTTCTGCTTTGATTGCCCTCTTCTACCTTGCTGCTGAAGGAAAAGGTAAAGGTGGGGCAGTCACACTAGAAGGTGCTTCTATCTCATCCACTTTGTTCCCTTCCTCTTTGGGAATGAGAGGAGTGCAAAATGCCACCTCTTCTAGAGTCCATGTTTCAAGATGAAAATGCAGAAGTTTCAATCTTAGCATCCTCAGTCTTTTGGGAAAGACACAGAGCAGACAAAACTGCCTTTCCAAGAGCAACAGCTTGAAGGTACTGACTGAACAAACAAAGATGACTTAGATCTAACATTTTGACATCAGACTGCTGTTTTCTTTTTAATAGTTGTAATGTTATTTACCTCAGTTGTCAGAGACAAAACAATTACCCAAGGACACAGAAGGAGAACTGAAACAAGATGCGACAATGAGTGAAGGCGTTTGGCTCCACCAATATCTACTGAGAGCTTTCGGGAAGCTGTGTGAAACCCAACTTTACAACACAATGCTAATACAAGCACGATTACTCCACCCTACGGGGGGGGGGGGAGGGAGAGAGAGAGAGAGTGCTATTAGCACACTAAAAACCAAATGCTTCATACTCCTTTAAGTATATCTCCATTAATAAATACTACATACCTTACATGTTTCTCAGAAAGTATATGCAGAGGAAAAGATGCACATAAAGTTCTTGGCAGCCCCAGAAATTTGTAAACAGTTGATAAAATCAATGCTTACAGAATTGTAGCTAGTTATATCCAAGTTTACAGTTTCCTAAATCCAAGTCCTCTTCTCCCTAACATACTGCCATTATGATACAAATACATAATAAATTACTGCAAACTGGAGGCCATTAAATTAAAAATGTATTTGTCAATGCTGTTGCAATATAGTGTACAATCTTTCTACTCTGAAATAAGCTACCCTTAGTACAATGGGGCTTACTTCCAAGTAAGAGATGGTAGAATTGCACTGTTAGTCTTGTAAAGGGTATCTAAATGTAGATACTTACAGTGGGGCAAAAAAGTATTTAGTCAGCCACCAATTGTGCAAGTTCTCCCAC